AGAGTGGCGGACATGATGTCGAAGAAGGCGTAGCAGGAGATCCCAACCCAGCACAGTACTGACAAAGATCGCTAGCTGAAACATGAATGTCGGGGTCGGCGCGCCGATCCATGCCATGCATTCCAGCACAAGGCCCGTTCGATCCATGGATGCCGGGGTCGGCGCGTCGATCCATGCCAGTAATTCAAGATAACTTGAGAATTTCAAAGCTCCAATGGATGCACAGTGTAGAGTTCTCTAGTACCCAGACTCAAAAATCAAACTTGCTCAGACTGAGTGAATGACATCAACACACTACTGGCTCGAGGTCAAAAAAAATCCTGCCAGATCCTCGGCTCGAATTTTGAAACCATTATGTCACCTCGTCCAAAATAAAGGTCTCTTTGAAGACGAAAAATCCGCCAGGTTCCGGGTTGGTTCAAACCTTTTTTCTTTTGCTTGTTTTGAGGATTTTTTCCCCTCGTCACGATGGAGGACTATGGATAACTTTTTTCTCAACTGAATCGATGAAGGGATTGGGCCCAGCAGTCCTACAGCTGACCAGGTTTTTCAAACAAGGGCGATGCCAAGCCCTAAACCCTAAACCCTAAGCCGCCTTTAATTCAAAGAAGCAACTGCAAACTTTGGGACAGCGCACCTCATTGACAATGCACCTTACTCGTAGCGTTTTTTGCAACTGAACGGAGGAGTTCTCAAAATTTTATTTATTTTTTGTTTTTTTTATAAAGAAAGTTGCAGTTTTTATTATAGGGGTAAGGGTTTCCAGGCCGAACGTACAGAGGCCCCTAAGCTGAACCCCGAACGCTCGGGCGTTCGGGTCCCCGTACAGGGCCCGAACCCGAAGGGGTTCGGACCCCGCAAAAAAATATTTTGGCACCTAAATATTATTATATTTTTCCTGAATTGTTTTTTTGTGAGTTCTTTGTAATGTAAGGTATCTTCCTCTTAATTTTGAAGGCGTTCTGTTAAGCCAAAAAATAATGAAAAATCGGCAAAGATGGTGGTGTCAAAACTTGCTTGCCCACTCACTAATTTGTTTTTTCTCTCTTTTCATTTTTTTTTTCCTTTTATTTCGGGGCATGAAAAAAATCCTTTTTAAAAAAAAAACTTATTTGTAGGTTCTCTATTATGTAAGATACACATATATAAATTTTCATGCCATTTGTCCAAGCCAAAAACAAAAAGAAAAATCGCCAAAGATGCCTCCAGTGTCAAAAACACGCTCGCCCACTCAATAATTTCATTCTCGTTTTATTTTTTTAAATTTTCATTATTATTATTATTTATTTTTTGTATTTGATTTTCATTTCAAATTTGTTAAAGAATTTGAATGTAATGTTGAGGCAAAAGTTGTTTAGTTTATTCTTCTGCATAACATATTTGTTTTTTCAGATTTTTTGGAATTCTGTTTCTTTTTTTTTGCGTCGAGAGGGGTCCCGAACGTTCGGGCGTTAATCCTGTCCCGAACGCGGGCAACACTGATAGGGGTAATATAATGCCCAAATAGCGCGTTTTTGAAGTTTGGCAGCAGAAATGTTGTACGGGTCCGAAATGTTTTTTTTTCTTTTTTCCCAAGGAAAGTGGGACCCCGCCCGGCGCCCGCAAATATTTTTGCTGTGAAACTACCGGGACCTCTAAAGCTGCAACAAAAGATTTGTGCAACCAAACTTGGGCCCCACCAATATTTTTGATGTGAAACTACAGCGACGCGCTGTTTTTGAAACTTACCCTTTATTATATTACTAGTGAGGGATTAACCCCCCCCCCTCAATTCATTGGGAATCGGATTTCTTTTTCGCAAGTTCTCAACTGAATGGATGAGTGATTGGGTCCTGCAGCTATCCAGTTTTTTCAAACAAGGGTGATGCCAAGCCCTCGACCTTCAACCCTAAACCCTAAACCCTAAACCCTAGACCCAGATGCTTTTTTTTTTTTTT